CACCGGGGGCAGCGACCCGCCCCGCCCCGTTCCGCCCCGTTCCGCCCCGTCCACACCGGGGGCACCGGAGCAGCCCCGGTCCCGGCGCCGCGCTCCCCCGAGGCAGGCAGCAGGTAAGGGCCGGCCGGGCTCTGCTGCCCGCGGGTGCAGCGCTGCCGGGATCGGGCCCTCCCCCCGTTCCCCCCGGTCCCCGCGGGGGTGGCGGTGCGCGGTACCTGCCCGGTTCGTGCTTCTCGCCCCGGTACCGGTTTGCATCTGGAGGCTGAACGCATCCTTCCCGGGTACCCGCCGTGCCCCCTCCCTCCCTCCGGGTACCGAAGGTCTGGGGAGCCCCGAGGGGCGGGAGCTGCCGGGTGGGCAGAGCCGGGGGTGTCCCCAGGATCCCTTGACCGTGCCTCAGTTTTCCCGGTAAGGGGACATCACCCCCAAAACCCGTGGGGAAACCGAGGGGGGGCTTGAGACGCCACTGGGTCCGGTGGGTTACGGCTGATGGGAGCTCGGAGAAGGCGGCGGAGTCCCCCCTGGGGTCATCTCTGGAGCCCCTGTGTGAGGGCAAGGATGGGGACCCCCTGGCATCACCCTGGCCTTCCTCTGCACCCAGCCACTGGCTATGCCCGGGGCTCTAAGGGATGAAACTCCTCCATTCCCTTTGGTGAGGCCGGATCCTGCCTGGAGCAACAGAGTTGGATCTGTTCCCACCAGCCAAAGCTTTATCAGCTCCGGAGCAGGGAAGGAGTTGGGCCATAAACATTCTTTGCCAATCCCAAACCCAGATTGTCCCGTGGAGCTTTTTTTCCCTCCTGGAGCTGCTTTGTCCTCGCTGATGCCGGGGCAGGAAGCATGTGATGCACCCAGGCCCTCACCACGGGACGGATGGATGGGCAGACGGGCGGTTTGGCCTCTTCCCCCCCTCCCCATCCTCTGTTTTCCACTTCCCCATCAGCCTCCGTCTGCTCCGAGTGAAGGAGAAAGGAAGTTGCTGCCGGAGAGGGCGGCTTGATGGCAGCTCGATAAAGAAAAGGAGGAAATGGAAGGCGACACAGATGCTCCAAAATAACCCCCCCTTCCTCCTCACCCTCCTCTTCCCCACCCTGCAGCTGCCTCCCTCCAGGGCACAGTAATCCCAGAGGGATTCCTTGGTATGGCACCAGATCAGCTCCCCCATCCTGAATCAGCATTGGGGGTATCACCCCCACCCAATGATGGAGCACCCGCAGTCAGTGCCCCTCAGTGCCAGGATCCCATTCCCACGCGGTGCCGATAAACGGGAAGCGCCGTTGGGATTTACCACCCACGCCCGGGGTTGGAGCCCCCCTGGATGCAGCGCCCGGCTCCTTGCACAGACACGTTGGAGCTGCCTGGGCAGATCGACATTCCCAGGCATTGGTGCAAAGGAGGAACCAGAACCCTTCTGTTCCTTCCTGCGGGTGCCTGCACTGGGGCTGCTTTCCCGGGCACCTGCAGGAAGAACACAATGGGATTGGGGCGTTCAGATCCCAGGGATGGTGAGGATGATGATGGGGATGTGGCCAAGTGCTTGGTGTGAGCACTTGGAGCGCGGTGCAGCGTGTGGTGCCCGGCTGAGGCAATGCCAGCGCTTCCAGAGCATCCCCATCCCCTGCTCCAGGGAGCCGTGCTGGCCGTGCCAAGACAGGAGTTCTCCTCAGGCGAGGTGTTTACTCAGTGGCTTCCTCCCTGGCCTCACCCCGCTGGGCACACACGCGCCGGACCCGGCGCCTTTTGGTGCTGTTTGCACCCATGGCAACGTGCGAGTGCCGGTGGTTGCGAGAGGCGGTGTTTGTCCTTCCTCTTCCTCCTCCTCTGCTGCCCCAGCGAGGGTAAAGGGGGCTCTGGAAGCTGGGGAGGCTCAGGGATGGGGAGGGATGGGTGGCTGGGATCTCCGGTTACATCCCTGCGCTCTGAGCCGGCTCCTGTAATCCAGCCCAGTGCGGGGATTAATTAATGAAGAGGGGTTGGAGGTGCAGGGAGCTGGTGGAAAGCGATGCCAGGGGATGGAGAGCGGAGCAGCGGGATCACATCCATCACACGGGCGTGCGGCCAAGGACTGGGAGGCACCGGGGATGCTGGGGTGCGGAGCAGGGGTGATTTCCAGAGCAGTGTGCATGGGATGTGAAGGGAAACCATGAAATGTTTACTCTGGCTGGGAGGAAACTTGCAGCAGGTTAATATGGCCCTGGTGAGGAGGAAGAGGAGGAGGAGGAGGAGGCAGAGGTGCCTCTGCTCTCAGATGGAGCTTTGTGGATCCCTCCCCTTGCTCCGTGCCCATAAATTATTGAAGTGCTTTTGCTTCCCTGCATGAGATATTGAGCCCGGTGCTGAGTGAGATGGGGAGGTTCGGAGGGGAAAGGGGGCTGGGGCTGGTCAGGGGTGAGGGGTCTTTGGGGCAGGTAGGAATCGCCCTGGGACTGGCAGGGTGATGGGGTCTCGTTCTCCCCCCTGCAGCCAGGAGCTTTCACTGATGCTCTATAGGAGAGGGCCTCACTCTGCTCATGGCTGTGCCCTCACTGGTGCAGGAGATGGTTTCTGGGCTCTCCCCATTTAGGCGGGGGCCGAGGCTGCAGCCGGGTGTTGGATGCGATGCTCGTGGCTGTCCCCAGGGGACCGCATGCCTGTGTCACTGCATCCCCACTCACCCGGGCTGTGCACTCCCGGGGCTGCAACCTCCCCATCGAAACCTGCCGAATGGGTGGAAACCCCCCCAGAAAAGGGCTGTGACTCCCCAGAGGCACCGCTGGGACCGCAGCTCTTCCGGAGCGGAGAGCAGCGCCCGGCCGCTTGGGTTGGGAGAAGAAGCTGGGTTTTGAGGGCGTTTTCGTTAAAAAGAAGAAGAGGGGGGGGAGGAAACAAACGGGCCCTGAGCAGGGCTGGGGAGCTGAGCAGCAGGAAGGAAACCGAGCGGTTTATTTCGGTCTCGAGCCTGCTCCGTGGGGCAAAGCTTTGGCTCTTCCGTGCGCCGGGAGCAGCCCCTGGGCGAACAATGGGGCCGCGGGGCCCTTCCCGCCAGGGAAACAGCGCGTTCCGGTGACAGCTCCTGCGCGCTGCTGAGTCAGCAGGGCCCGGTGGGGCTCACGGTGCGGGGCTCTCGGTGCCGGGCTCACGGTGCCGGGCTCTCGGTGCCGGGCTCACGGTGCGGGGCTCACGGTGCCGGTGCCCAGCGGGACCGGACCTGCCGGGAGGTGAGCGGGGCTTTCCTTGGGCTTTGCAGGAGCGACCTCAGAGCAGCGCCGCGGGGTGCTGGGACGGGGCAGGATGCGCTTGGGGGGCCCGAGGAGAGCCCTCGACACCGCTTCGTGCCTGGGTTTGCCACCACAAGTGAGGACTGGGTCCCTGCGGGAGGGGCTGTGGGCACCCAGCTCTTGTTCAGCGCTGGGAGCGGAGGCTGCTCTGTTATTGCAGGCGCTGATTGGGAGCCGTGGGCGTGCGGGGCAGAAGGAGCTGGGGCTTCCTATTCTGTGAGGGCTCCGTAGGTGGGATCCGCGCTCCCTTTGTGGCTGCAGCCGCTCGGCAGAGCTCAGGTGCGGGAATTCCTGTTTATCAAGGCATTGTTCCCAGTGGGGAGCACAGGGCACCCACAACCGCTGCGAGATGCAAGGGAAGGGACCTCCATGGTGCCAACACCTTGGCACAGCCATGGTGCTTCTGGAAGAGGCTCCCTGCTGCGGGCAGAGCCGGTCCCCCATAGAGCCAAAGGGAGCAGGGATGGAGCCCATCCTGCCCGTCCCTCCAGGCTCGGCTCCAGCAGCATCTCCTGCATGGAGCCATTGGCATTAAGTGATCCCGGGAGCTGCTTTGTCATTTGTGCCTCAGGAGCCGGAGCTCGAGGCTCACGCTGGCAGCAGTCGATGTTTTCCCATGGAAGGAAGCACTCACAAACGTCAGTGTTGTTCCTCAGGGCTGTAAATAACGCTGCAGGCGGCAGCTCCGTTACTGCGTGCTCAGCTCATGCCCTCACGGAGCGTTGGCCTCAGGGAGCCGGTGGCTGGGAGATGCTCAGGAAGCGGGGACTCAGTTTTGCACCATCACCCATGCACCATCACCCGTGCTCCATCACCCTTGCTCCATCACCTTGCACCATTGCCTGTGCTCCATCACCCTTGCACCATCACCCGTGCTCCATCACCCTTGCACCATCACCCATGCACCATCACCCGTGCTCCATCACCCTTGCACCATCACCCTTGCTCCATCAGCTGTGCTCCATCACCTGTGCTCCATCACCTTTGCACCATCACCTGTGCTCCATCACCCATGCACCATCACCTGTGCTCCATCACCTTGCACCATCACCCTTGCACCATCACCCATGCACCATCACCCATGCACCATCACCCATGCACCATCACCCATGCACAGTTCCCCTTGCACAGCGGCTGCAGTGAGGTGGACCCATGGCCAGAGCCACATATCCAAGCCCCGCTGGGGTCTGCTCCCATGCTCCGCATTGGTAGGAGCAGGATTGAGGATCCCTGGAGGGGGCTCAGCCAAGGGGGGCCCAGCGCTGCTCATGCTGGGGACAGACTCAGAATAACCCACTGGGGCTGCAGACAAGGGGCTCTCCACACCCACGGCCAATTTATCCCCATCCATTGTCACACCAGCAGCATCCTTGAGCTTCAGTGCCTCCTCTCCCCTCCCTGGTGATGTATTTATAGCCCGATCCCATCCCCTCCCGCTGTCTCTGTGCCAGGCTGACCGTGCCACGTGCAGGCTCTTGCATAAGCAGCCCCCATCCCTGCCCATCGTCCTGGCGTGGGAGCTGCGTGTTCTCACGCTGTTCTTGCCTCCCCGTGATTTGTGGCTCTGTGATTTCCTGGGCCGGGGATGCAGCTCCAGGGTCGGTGGCTTTTGATTCATTCACAGCAATCTGAAAGCCATGAACGGCTGGAGCTGGCCCCGCCGGGCTGAGGTTTGTGGCTGCTTCCATTATTCACCTCCATGGAGCACTCGGGAGGAAGCAGAACGAGTCCGGGCTCCAGCACCATGGGTGGACCAGGGCAAGGGCCTCGGCCCATGCTGGTGGGTGCTGCAAACCGGCCGTGCCCTGGCTGCGGGTGACTCAACCTGCACCTGGGGCGTCCCGAGCTCACCCTGCAGGAAATGAGTCAGGTTTCAGGAAGACAAAAAGGGTGAAGTGATGGGGCAAGAGCCCTTCCTGCACCCGGAGCGGGCGGCGCCGGGCAGGACCGGGACGGGGATGGAGGGTCACAGGCGATGCTCAGGTAGGGAGACCTCACTTGCGGCTGGCACTGCCCACAGCACTGCAGCTTCCCCCCGGGGTTTGGGGCAGGAGGGTGGGAGCCCCCTGTAACTCATCCAGCTCAGCTCCTGCCTTGCCCCCGGGAGCTCTTTGTCCTGCTGTTGGCTGGAGATGCTCTTTCTCCTCCCAAAAGGCTGAGGTGGGGGGAGAAGAGACGGGGGCTGATGCAGGACATGAACCGTGTGTGTGCCTCTTCCCCTGCAGAGATGGACACCTTCAGCACCAAGAACCTGGCCCTGCAGGCCCAGAAGAAGCTCTTGAGCAAGATGGCTACCAAGACCATAGCCAACGTCTTCATTGACGACACCAGCAGCGAGATCCTGGATGAGCTCTACCGGGCCACCAAGGAGTACACCCGCAACCGCAAAGAGGCGCAGAAGATCATCAAAAACCTCATCAAGATCGTGATGAAGTTGGGCGTTCTCTACCGCAACGGGCAGTTCAGCGCCGAGGAGCTGCTGCTCATGGAGCGCTTCCGCAAGAAGGTCCACACCTTGGCCATGACGGCCGTCAGCTTCCACCAGATAGACTTCACCTTCGACCGCAGGGTCATGTCGGGTGTGCTCACCGAGTGCCGGGACCTGCTGCACCAGGCTGTCAACGGGCACCTCACCGCCAAGTCCCACTCCCGCATCAACCACGTCTTCAATCACTTTGCGGACTACGAGTTCCTCTCGGCTCTCTATGGGCCCTCGGAGCCCTACCGCACCCACCTGCAGAGGATCTGCGAAGGGGTTAACAAGATGCTGGAAGAGGACAACATATGAAGGTGGCCGAGGCAGGGCGAGCGCCTGCTTTGAGCGGCACCGGGCTCGGTGTCCTCTTCTCTGCAGCGCAGCCCCATTTGCTCCTTGTTTCTCCACCGAACTGAACCTCTGGACTGTGTCTAACCCGTGCCCAGGGTCTGCAAACCCCTCCCTGTGCTGGGCTGAGCCCTTCCCAGGTGGCCTCTGGGCTCCTGCTGTACACTTTGGTTTCCTTTGTCCACTAAGTGCTCTTAGCTCCGGCTCCAAGGAACCGGGCTCCTCCCCTTGATCTCTGTTGTAACTGTTCTGGGGGAGACCCAGACCAAAGGCTCTTGGTGTGTGAGAGCTCTCGGGGGTCTCGGAGCGGGTGGGGGGGTGTTGGGATGGACACTGCTGAGGGCTGGGCAGCCCCATGGTTTCCTTCTGCAGCTCCATGCTGGGCTGGGGGCAAATCGTGGCCCACACTTGTGCTGCACAGGGTGGGGGGGAAGGCGTTTCTGCACCTTGCAGGGCTCTTCAAAGACAAGGCCTGGGGAGCAGAAGGATCCCACCCCATCTGTCCCGGGAGCAGGGAGGGAGCTGCTCCTTCCCTGCATCCCAGGTACATCCGAGGCACAATTCCCCCCCCAGCCTCCTGCGGTGGTACCACTGTGGCGGCTCCGGTGCCTTTGGTGGTGTCCAAAGCTCCCCCATGGATTCCATACATTTCACGTGTCCTCCGCTGAGTTCTGGCTGTGATTTTTAGGCGACTGTAGCCCTGATGAGTGATGGAAATAAACTCATCTTTAAATGGAGGTGGCTCCCTGTGACCTGGGCTTTGCGCTCTGCAGCCCCAGCACCGCTGCTGCCCAGGCTGCCCCTGCGCCCCGCAGCGGGAAGCAGCTTTGCAGGACTCAGGGATTCGGTGCAGGTGAGTTGGGCTCTCGGAGCATGAATGCACCAAGCGGAGCCTGCTCCCAGCACGCTGAGCTCGCCTCTGAACACGGGAAATTGCCCTTTTAGCAACCAGGACACGGCACAGACTCATCTGGCCTTATCTCCACAACCTCCTTGTGCCTCCTGTTCCATGGGATGTCTCCAGGCACAGGAGGATGCCAGCGCTGATGGGCAGAGCATTGTGCCTCCCATTCGCTGCTACCTTTCCACCACTGATCACTTCCAGCCTTTAAGATGAAATAAAAGGAATCCCCCCCATCTGTGTCGTTCCACAGGCCTGGCCCTGGCTGTCACAGCCAATGCAGGTGTGTGACACAGTGCGGGTGGGGGTAAAGCACCTTTAGGGGTGTGCATGGAGGAGAACACGACCGAGCTCCACCGAGGCGCTGGGCCCTGGGGAAGGGAAGGTGAAGTCGCCCTTTGGCCCACGGTGTTTGGGAGCAGACGTTCCTGGTCCTTTCCAGCTCGTGGCAGCTGCCAGGGATGCGCTGGAGAGGAGCCGGAGCTGGAAGCAGCTCCCGGAGCTGCCAGCGGATGCGGGGATCAGGCAGGGATGAACGGGGCTGATGGATGTGGCGGCTGCACTGACACAGGCTCTTCCCTGTTCTGCTCTCACAGTGCACGTCAGCATCAGCTGCAAGAGGCTCCTTAACTGCATGGAGCATCCCTGCGCAGATGAGCCCCGACCCCATCCCCAGGGTTCTGTACACCCCAGGACCACAGTTAACCCACCAGCGCCTGCCCTTTGCCTTCGCATGCAGGTCTCTCATCTGGAACTTCTCCCTCACACTCCATGGCAAACACCCATCTTGTTCCCAGAACTCAGAACGGAGTCAACTGGGGCCAGAGCTTGATGCTTTATTCTTTTATTGTATTTACACAGGGAAGGAATTCCACTTTCCCTCGCTGTTACTACTCGAGATAAGAAAAAGATCCCTTCCGTACGTAGAAAATAGTCCTGCAGTTGTACTGAGGCATGGAAGTGGTGCTCGGGTTGATTCCTGGGTTGTGTCAGAATAACCAGCTCTGCCTTCCCCATGTCCAGTTACCTCCCAACCCCTGCTCTGCACTAGGGCAGGGCAGGAACATCCCAGCACAGCCACACTCAACAAGGAGCCCGACAGCTTTGGCCAACTCTGTCCCTTCCTTCCCCCTCCCACCCAATTGGATTATTGGCACTCCTGGGGGAATGCTTGGACTTGGTGATCTTAAAGGTCTTTTCCAACCCGGTTGATTCTGATTCCTCCTGTCAGGCTTGCAGAGAGAGAAATCCTCTTTGCCTCTGAAGACTACAGAGTTAACAACTTCCCTTCAGCAAACCTTGGTTCAATCCAGCCACTTATCTTTCTGTGCTTCTCTTCCTAGCAAGGGAGATAAGGAGCCCTCGTCCGAGGGGAGCTTTACCATATTCAGCAGATCAGCCAAGCAGAAAGCGGGTGACAGAATGGCTGCCTGCAGATCAGGAGCCTCAGAGGAGGTTTCAGCTGCAAAGCACATTGTTACTCTGACACAAGGCAGAATGCATCCATCCTAACACCCCCAAGCCCCGCTTGTGTTGGACCCTAGCACATTTCAATACGGAAAACATCAAAAGGTTTGGCCAAGCCCCAAACCCAACCCCCTGCGGTTGAGCAGTGATCCTCTTTATCTGCCGTGCTCTTCCGACCAGAACACCCTGCCCAGCGCCGGCCCCGGGGTCACAGCTCCTCATGGGGTGTTCTCGCTACAATCATGAGCTTGGACAGTTCAAACCGGAACTTGCCTTCCCTGTGAGCCACTGGAAAGAGAGAAAACAAGGCCAGGATAAAGCAGATGGGAAGGCACGAACAAAACAGCCCTGCTGGGTCCTTTCCAGCACCATAAAGCCAGCAGGTCGGGCACTGCACTTCCTTCTTCCAACAGGGGCGTTGGGATAAACCCCTTCTTCCCCGTGGTAATTTAACACTTACACTGCACAACCCAGCCACGGATCCCCCTGCCTCCATAGCACACACTGTCACCTGCCTGCACGGAGCTGTACTGGTCCCCAGCTTCTCTCCCAGCCCCTTTCTCCCAGAGCTCCCAGTCACAGACCTGTTGTTTCGGTGACCTCAAACTCTTCCTGTTTTAAGGGGATGTCGCTTTGTCCACCCGCCGCAGCCTGAGACTGAAATGGGAAGGAAGGGGTTTAGGCAGTTGAGGCAATGCAAGAAGCTGCTCGGTTTAAAGGAAACAAAGCAACAGCACGTTCGGAAAGGGAATGAATTTGTTTTCATCATCGGGGTGACACGATGCCATCACAATGGAAACCTGATGGAAAATCTCTGGCTGGTTTTCCATTCCTCACTGAACCCCGAACTTGTGCCTCAAAGCCTCACCTCGGAAGGCTGGGAAACAGAAGACTGCCCCAGCCCCAGCCCCAGCCCCAGCCCCAGCAGAGGGGTTATTGACATTGCCCCATGGGGTTTGCTGAGGCAAACCAAGCCCCCCGTGCAGTGCAGCCTGGCAGGGGGGTGTCTGCGGAGCTGCAGCAGACCCAGGGTGTTGAGGGAGCAGCAACGCAGCGGTGCAGGAGGCTGTACCTGCAGCTGCTCTCCCGCTGCCACCGCTCGCTCATTAGGGACGTGAGGGGGGACGTTTTATTGCACAGATGTCTAATCAATGTTTTCCATGTCAAATTCATGTTTTATAGCAGCCTCCCACACGCCTGCTTCCAAGCCATCAGCTGGGACTTACGTAAGCCATGGCATACTCTATCTTGGCTCCCTTCACTTCGGCTTTAAACTGGGTAAAGAAGAGATAAGACTTCCCCTGGGGCCTGCAATGAGAAAGCAGTCTTTGACACGGGCAGAGGCTGGAGGTGCAGCTGAGCTCAGGGCCCACAGCTCCCTCCCTCCACAAGCACCTCTGGCTCTCTTGTAGCTCCATCTAATGAGGAGGGTGGAGCGGGGCCCACAGCACCCATGAACCACCCTGCAGAGGCAAACCCAGCCCCCCTGGCCCAGGCCCCAGCGGCCTCACTGTTGGTTGGGGTTGAGGAACACACCTCCAGACGGAGCAGGAGAAGAGCTGCTTGTCTTCACTGACTCCAACGTTCATCTGCCACTGCTGCAGGGGGGAAAGGTCCATACAGTCAGTGTGGGTAACCCTAACCCTAACCCTTGCACATCCCCCGTGCCCCAGAGAGCAGGCACCTCCCCTCCAGCTGTGGGCATGGCAGGTTTGAGCCATCCCACAATAGCACAAGGGAATACACAATGCTCCTGACAGCCCCTTCTGCTGCCTGTGGCACAAGGGTCCAAGCCCGGCTGCCATCCCCATCCCCAGTTCTGTTGGTGCAGCCACAGAAGGGAGTGAAAGCCTCATTTCTCCTTCTGCTCATACAAAGGGGCCTCACTGGAACAGGACTTGCAGAGGAGACAGCACAAAGTGCACCTGCACAGCACCTACTGCATCCGCATGGCACTGACTGCACCTGCACAGCACTGACTACATCTGCACAGCACCTACTGCACCTGCACAGCACTGACTGCATCTGCACAGCACCTACTGCATCCGCACATCACCTACTGCACCTGCACATCACCTACTGCACCTGCACAGCACTGACTACATCTGCACAGCACCTACTGCATCTGCACAGCACCTACTGCATCTGCACAGCACCTACTGCATCTGCACAGCACTGACTACATCTGCACAGCACCTACTGCATCTGCACATCACCTACTGCATCTGCACAGCACTGACTGCATCTGCACATCACCTACTGCATCTGCACATCACCTACTGCATCTGCACAGCACCTACTGCATCCACACGGCACCTACTGCATCTGCACATCACCTACTGCATCTGCACAGCACCTACTGCATCTGCACATCACCTACTGCATCTGCACAGCACCTACTGCATCCACACGGCACCTACTGCATCTGCACAGCACCTACTGCATCTGCGCATCGCCTACTGCACCTGCACAGCACCTACTGCATCCGCACAGCACCGACTGCACCTGGACTGCATCTGTACATCACCGACTGCATCTGCACGGCACTGACTGCACCTGCAGAGCACCCACAGCAGCAGGGCCACGAGCCGCAGGAAGCCGCCCACAGAACACAGAAGCGGCTCCTACGAGGTCCTTCCTGCCCAGCGCGGTCCGGGCAGGGCGCTCCCTGCTCTCCAGACGCACCCGGCCCGGGATTTGCCCAGGACCCCAAGCGCCGGGGCCGCAGGAGCGCGGCCGGAGGCACCGGGAGCAGGACGCGGCCAGGGCGCTGCTTCAGCGAGCGGAGAGCGCCGCTGCCCGCAGCCGCCCACGGCCACCAGGGGCAGCTCCCGGCTCGGCAGCCGCAGGGCCCGGGCGCAGGCGGAACCCGGGGAGGTTTCCCCATCTCACCTCGTTCGTTCCTCCCTGGGCCGAGTACGTGAAGGTGCAGGTGCGATCC